CAACACCAGAAGTAACACAGAATCTGAAGAATGTAGTTAAACAAGCTTTCAATGCCACAGAGGTATGTTGTCTCTCCACCACAACTATGATTTTGCGTTCGATAAACGAGGACAAACTACGTGGTTTCGCCTCATCCGTGTGTACTTACCTGTTAAACTGTAGCCTCGGAGTCAGCTACATTGGGCGAATAGTTGGGCAAGTTCACCATTGTATTTCTCAACATTGTCTTGCATGGTTAAACAAGGGACCAACAAGATCTATTCGTAGCTCTGTTTTAGCACACGCTATAGATAGTGAGCATACAGTTGACGTTAATACAGCGTTTAAAGTTATTTATCACATTCCATATAATCTTAATTTTAACTTATGACTGCGTCTTCTACAAACTGTTGAAGCCATAGGTAAACAGGGGAAATCAATCGACGAAGTCGTGAGGCTACAAAGACTGAGATGGTTAGGACATGTGTTACGTATGCCAAGCCATCGCCTCCCTCGACGAGCTATGTTAGCGGATATAGGGTCAGGCTGGAGAAAAGCTAGTGGCGGTCAAACAAAAACTTGGCACCAGTCAATGAAATCCACAACAGTTGGTCTAAGCCACGTAGGGAGGTGTAGACTTCCAGACTGGGGTCCTCGGGACGGTAAAAATCTATGGTTGGAAACAATTGGTGACATGGCTCAAAATCGTTCTCAGTGGCCAGGGCAGATGCATCCACTCCTTGTGACTTATGATCTCCAATGAAACTGTTTTGTTTTTCTTTATTACTCCTTTGTCTCACCCCTCTGCTCACTGTTTCTATTATGCTTTTCTTGTACTTTCTTCTCTTGCTTCACGTGCTACACGGAGTGTGACGACTTGAACTTCCGCACATTTGTGCAAAGTTCTATGTCGAAAACAGACAGACAGACATAGGAATCCAATTGAAGTAGATAGACCTATGTGTTCACGAAAAATTCATACAACTACATTCCTTAACTTGACCATCTTTACATGAATGTATAAAGCTGACTACTTCGCCCCGTTCTCCCTAACCCTTATAATGGTCATCATTGTCCAAATTATTTAATTTTTCTGCCACCCCCATCTGGATCTTCTTACTACAATCGAGCTATTTTTCGGCTCGGTGAGTTTATCGTTGAGAATATGGATTTTAAAGGTACACTGAACTTATAGATGTTGGGTAAACCGTACATAAACGGGAGGCATCCACTTTTCGATCTGAGTTCATTGTACTTTCCTAGACTGATCAGTTTCTATATAAGGAGTCGTTTGAGACAATAATTTAGATCATGACTGAACGTGTAAAACCTCTATTCATTGAGCTATAATTTAATGGTGACTTGTCAAGTCAGATTTTATTCTAGAGACTTTCTAGGAGTATATGTAGAATGTTTTACGCAGTATGCCTACGTTTGTCATTCTCTAGCCGACGAATGATTAGAATGCAAACGAAGGATAAGCTAGAGAGTTCTGTCACATCTATGTACATTTATCAATTCAACTTCACCTGCAGTGACAGTTATGTTGGGTGTACTACTACTATACAGCTTAGCCAACCACTGAACTTAGCTACCACTGAACATCTTCCATCATGGTTTGGTAAAGGACAGGCAAGAACAATGCGTAGCTTCATTTTGTCATAGTTAGTTGGTAGTGATTATTTAGTGGAGAAAATTAAAGTATTCAAAAAGTGGCTGTTCATCGCATCCCACTAAATCTTCTCAATAGACTTCGTATTCGCCTACTGAACACAGCTGAGTCGATGGGCATTCGGACCAATAAACCCTGAACTATGCATTCAAAAGAAGTTCATACAGCCACTATCCCGTCCTTGGCTAATTAAGACCGAATCAACTGATGGCTTCACTACCACCACTCCGTACTTATATTTTCAACGCCACTCTTTTATCACCCCCTGCTCTTATCACATTTTCCTTAGAAACGTATTTTATTTACTTCCCTTATGATTAAGGATTGCGTAATCGATCCATTTGTCTTTCCTAGCTCTTATCGACTATTAAGTCTACCTGAATATTTGTTTGTTTAGTCATACTATTTTTCGTTGTTCGTGTTATCAAAGACTCCCTCGCTTTTGCATCCATTTTACTAATACAATCATTATTACTTAAATATTCGCACTATTATTATTAGATAAAGACATAAGCCAACACATATTGCTTTCAATTAGATCTTCTTCAGGCTTCACTCTAATTTATACAGATTTGTGTATAAAAATTTTAACCAATGACGGTGAGTCTGTGCATCAAATAATAATAATGTGATTAATGTTATAATTAGTCCTGTAACTGATGTGCAGCTCATGATGAAATCCTCCATCACATCAAACAAAATCCCTACGAAACCAATACTTGAAAACCAATCAGGCAGTAAACCTGGGGGTCTGGTGGGAAGCCTTAACAAGTAGGGTACAGTAGGTTGAAGATGAGGCAGTAACTCATCGAAGAAGATATTGCAAAACGGTCGAGCTATGTCATGAAGTGGCAGAAGTTAGAATTCATAGGCCATTGGATTACGTCCCAATGGCTGATGAATGGTCTACGAGCTGGCTCGCGTCTTGTAACCATGGGGTCCTGGGTTCGAACTTCAGTGGGGTGGGGTGCACGCCAATGAAGATTCCCAAGCTAGGCTGACGAAACAGCTGGATGTCGAACAATATCCCTATAAAACCAATACTTGAAAATTAATGTTTTGAACGTCAGTAATAACGATGACATTGGAAAATACAAATAACCTTTATTACAACGAATATCATATACCAAATGCACAAATTTTTACAAACTATTAAATGTGAACTTCGTTTGGACATATGTGATGATAATAAGGTTTATGCATGTAGCGATAAGAATAATGAAGGTGATAACATGTGTGGGTATATGTAGACAATTCAATAAATAAATAACTTAGGTCAAATCTTATAAGTTACGTAATATTAAAAGTGGGTAAAGTGGACAGATAATTAGAGTTTAAATAATAAATATCATAAATTTACGAAGAAAAATGAAAAATAAGGAAAGGGTGGGAGAGTTTTCATTGGGATTTACCTAGGCCGAGGGAGAGACGATGACAAATTGCACAATTTATATTCACCATCTTATTATCCTATTGACAAAACACCGTGATTGGTTTATATTTGAATATTTCTTTATAAAGTTATGTAGGTATATTAGAGTTAAGCCTGATGAGATCTAACTGAAACCACAATATATCACTGTTCGCTTAAATGTGTTGCTCTAAATTTCATAACTGCTTTTAGTTCTACCTGATGGGACGTACTGGAAGAGTTATGAAGCTGTCCGATGATGACAGTTCGAATTGAAAGATTTAAAAGTGTGAAATATTCCTATATCCCGTGAATTAAAAGTCAATCTGAACGAAGAATATTCTTTTTTTTCAATAATTTCTCCTTTTCAGGTTCTCACAATTATAAGATATAATATCTATCTGTGGTCGCTACAATAATGGCCTGTTATGCTGCGGATGCGTTTTGTTTTAACGCAGAATAACAGATTAGTTATCGCAGGGTGTCAAAATAAATAGTCGGATTTCGAGTGTGACAAAGGTCGTGCTAGTAGGTTGAAATCGATTACAAAATATTGTGAAATGGGAGACGAAGGTGGTGATCAGTCATAAAAGATTCGTAGAATGTGGGGTAGGATAATATTGACAAGTCAGTTCAAGGTAATAAAAGGTGTCAGGTGAGTGAGTGGCGAGTACAAAGTGGTCTGTGTTAAACAGAAGATAATAAGACTTCAATGAGAGGTTCATCATGAAATAGCGAATATGTGAAATGAAACAGGTGGAGGCATATATTGAGAAAAGAGATAATGTCACTGATAATAAGTCCGGATAGTATAAATGGAAAATTCGATAGTATTGAGAGAATGTGGTAATGAAAGGTATAAGTCATTACGAATAATAATAATAACTGTGGAAGTAAGCGAAGCGAAAGAGGAAAACCAGGTGGGTTAGGGGGAAGAGGCAATGCCTCTGTGAGAACAACAATCATTATTCCGAGTTTGGCCACGGTAGAAACAGTGTCTGAACGTGTTCTTTTTGGATGCGAAGTTTCAGTTTAAACGATCTTATTGCAGCAGCTTCAGATATGCGTAGGAGACGTAAGAGAACTGTAGGTGATAACGAATTTAGGATTCAGTTTATAACCATGAAGGCTGTGTTGACATCGGTTTAATTTTTCCTTTGGTGAACCAAGCTGGTTAATGTTCTCGAACCCATAGACAAACTTGCCCATTCGTACCCCCCCCCCCATATAACTTGAACCTCTGGAAGAACTGGAATGGTATATGCATCAATATGAGCTAAAGTTAGGTAAGTTAACTTTCAGTTGCTGGGTGAACATTGGGCGGCTACTGAATGATAGACACAGACGTGAAGGGTATAAAGTCTTTTTGATCCCCCTGGTTAAATGTTGTGATAGAATCTCCTCAGGAGTACATCCTCTGAATTGTAAACATAAGAAATAGAGTCTTTTGCCCCACCGCTGCCAATTCATGTTTACGACTATTGTAACCTATGTTTGCTTTGGTGAACTTCTCTGGATATCTATTCTCGATTAGAATATCCCAGATGACCTGAAGTTTTTTCTCTATACAATCTTTGGAACAAGTGGACCTTACTGTAAATGCTAAGCGCCTAATCATACTACGCTTGTATTTCATTGTTATGAGGCTAAGGAAAAGTGTATACTGAGCTTTGGTCCCCAGCTTTCTAAATATGGTTCTCTTGATGAAGTCGCCGCATAACTGTCCATTGTTGTAACGACAATAAATATTATGCTTTATAATTTTAAGAACCTGAAGTGAAGAAATTATTGAAAAGAATATTTTTACGCTCAGAGTGACTTTCAGTGTGAATTGCAAGCTGATTCCTGTACTCAGAGATGACAAGTGACAAATAAAATCGTCTGTATCTTAAGTATGATCACATTAAGTAATGAAAAATTATTACTCGATAACTTACAGTATCTCCGCATGCATCATTTTTAAATATTCTGCATATTCCTTTAACATTGCTTGCCGTTCCGCTTCTACTTTAGCTCGATGTTTCTCTAATTCTTTCAGATAGACTTCATATTCTTCTTTCTCCTTACACAATCTTGACTGATTTTGTGCAATATGTTCTTGACGATATTTCTAAAAGAAAAATTTATCAGAAGAACAAACGCTAACGTATATTAATCGGATATATACATATTTATATATATTCCTGTTATGCGGTGACCTCGTAGACCGTTCAGCCACTATCACCCGACCCAGTGGTCCATGGATTTCAAATTCTACCAATTAGTGATATATTCACCGCAGCCACCAGCCAGTATCCCAAAAGAGTAACTATCACCTTCTCCGACTTGATGGACCCCGGTGGTGATGACTTCCCAACAGGTATAGGTCAGGCCAGTCGCCAGTGTCCATCCGATTTTTTTCGATTTGTAGAGATTTGATTGGTTTACAGGATTTGTTACGAGATGGTATCACTTAGAGAACCATTGGAGACCACAAGGGAATATTGGACACTTGTTTCTTCCTACTCTGAGACTCTTCAACAGTGAGGTCCGAACTCCGGACCTTCCGGTCACAAGGCGAGCTCAAAGACAATCCAGTGGCATCTGACTCAGTGGTCCGTGAATTCCGACTTTCGGGTGCGTAAAAAAACAGCTGTTCAGTACTCCTAGGTTTACCCTGGTTCTCTGAACGCGTTCAGCTGTTGACCGATCCCCCAACCAATCAAATCCCTACAAACCAACACTTGGAAAGATATATTCGCCAAAGAGCTATGAAGTATACGTGAAATATCTGATGGTTTTAAAGAGGTAGTGATCTATTTAGAAGTTTGTTTCAGTAGGTCAATTCCCCAGGGATTCAATGACTGCTGACTCAAATTCTGTCATGTCACCTTCAATCATCACACACTATTACGGAGTACTTGTTTAGAAAATCCTTCCTGAATGACCTAACTATAATATATATATATATGCTTCTCTGGTTGTTTCAACTAACCTTATAATTGTCGTTCGTTTTTCTGCTAAACTGCATACTGCTATTCTGAGATTCGTATATCATACATTGACTTCGGCGTTTTTCTTTTTTCCGGTGTTATGTTTGATTTTAATGCTTCACATTTTATGGTTGTGCGATACATTGGTAATAAGTTGTCTCATGATGTGATTTTGTATGAGTTAATCAAAGTCATTCTGATGTTGGACTGTCAGTAGGAATTTTCGATGTTTGATTCTTGTGAACGAGGTTTCGATTCCACCCGCTTGTGAATATTCCACTTGATTCTCGGATACTTCTAATCAATGAAATTGAGTGAATCAAATTTTGTCCCACACTACTTGTTTTATGCTTAAGAAATTATCTGGTCTATATGGCTGCTTTCACCTTCATGCAGTTAATTCTTCCATACGGAAATTGAAACCAAATCAAGCATTAAATACCTTGGATTAGTTCTTTCCTCTGACCTTTCATGGTCATCCCACATCTTATCAGTCTCTAAGATCATGTTTTGTCTTACCTTCTACATTAAAAAGTTAAGACAATCAGGTATCAACCAACCTTTAGTTTTGCAATTTTTAAACTCCTGTATTTCACCTATTGTACTCTATTGCTCTCCATTAATCTTTCCTGGGCTTCTCAAAAAAGATTATATCATATTACGAAGAGTATTAAATGCTGTGAGTAGAGCTTGTGGTCTGCCACTGCATGAGCTCGCTAATACTATAGTCGAGAGGCATATAAATTCCTGTACAAAATGGGCAAAGGCTATAATGTCAGACCCTCTGCACCCCCCTTATTCACACCTGTCCCCTTGTATCTCATCAGGTAGGACGAGAAGTAAATATAAAAAGATATATGCTCGTACTACTAAGTATAGAAATTCTACAATAACCTATTTAGCGCGTACTTTATGTGACGAAGACTCTGTTAGACGTGAAACTTACAAGTTACTATGTAATTAGCACAGTGAATCGACCCTTTTATCGTTTCATCTTTCTGTATTTTATGGTGTCACACTTTCTATCGTTTAAATCGTTACTCTGCTATTTTATTTTTAGTTGGTATTACTATTATTACTACAATTTTGTACTTTATACATATTTTTCTCCGTATGGCACACAGTATTTTCATACGTAGCTGCTATAACAATCGTTTTATTACTATTATGTAATGGGTATTTTTAATTTTTTTTCTCGTTTTTGAGTAAATTAGATGCAATATTGTACTGAAAGTGCTGAAAATTCCTTGCTGTATCATGAGTACTGTTTTTGGAATAAAGCAATTATTATTATTATTATTATTACTTAGGAAACCATCAAGTGATGTCACTAGACAGGTCCTCGAATGGAACCCGAAAGGGAAGCGGCGAGTTGGTCGTCAATACAAGGGTGACTTGGAAGAAGTCATGTGAAGAGGAGACGAAAGCATGTGGGCGGCAGACATGGAGCGGGGTGAAAAAGTTGGCAGAAAACCGAACGCATTGAAGACGCGCAGATGAAGCCCTATGTTCCTCTAGGAATTAAAGGATATAATAATAATAATAGCTAACTTTTTCTTTCCTGATAATCTGACTACCCACTATCTACAAGTTTGACCCATGTAGTTGAACTTATTATACAAATGTTATTGTTCCCTTTGGTTCCGGGTGGAACAAAGGCCTTCATTAACACATCACCACTTTTTCTACTTTCTGACATCCTTTCCATCTGGGTTCACGATCGCCCAAACTCTCTCACCTCTTTCTCGCACTATCTCCCTCATGTCACTCTAGCACTGCCAACCAACTCGTCGCTTGGCATTGCGATTCCACTCGAGCACTGACCTGTCCTACAATGTCATTCGACGGTCTCCTCAACGTATGCCCGATTAACCCATCACCATTTTCACCTACATATTTTTTGAGCAGTCAGCTGTCACCTGTTGGTTTTTTCCCAGCTAGCTAAAGTTTCTTGTTGCTAATTCTTTCTGGACAGACGGCTGACCGTTTGATCTTCAGTATGGAGCCAACGAAAGTGGCATCCGTTGATGTTTATTCTGTAACTTGTTGGAAATCGTTTTCGGGACTCGCAGTGCAAGTCTCTGGCCCACCTTGAAATACCGACTTGACATTTGTGTTGAAATGTAAATCTTGTTCCTCAGGCTGAGTGAGTGAAGCAGAAGATTTCCAAACTGGTTTCAGGTTGATGAAGGTGTATCTAGCATTTCTGATTCTGCCTCACTTTGAAATATTCATCCATTCCGCCTGTCGTTGAAATCGTACTTCCTGGCCAGATAAGTAAAGGAAGTAACCTGTGTTAAATCAATCCTGTTGATGGTGATTGGTGCTTGTTGTCGTCGCTGTAGTTGTTGGTTTGTTATCTACATCACCGCCGCCTTCTTTATGTTCACCTGGAGTACTTTCCTTGCTGCCTGCTTCTTCAGCCAGTCGCTGTTGCTTTTCGCCTGTAAGTCTTGAAATTTCTGCATGTAACATTAAACATATATCTTCTGCGAAATCCAAATCTTCTAGAGTATTCTTATCTGTGGTACAGAGTATTCCAGTCTCCCGGCTCCTCATAATTTGAAGCATCATCCTCTCCACCACAACCAAGAATATCATCGGTGATAATATGCTGGCAGCCTTACCTTACTCCTGTGTTTGCTTGGAACGCCCCGCTGAGTTTTCCGTTGTGTATCATTTGACACATACCACAGCGATTGCAATGTATTTTGTAAATAATATTATTTTGTTTAATTGAGTCAATAGGGCCCTTTAATCTAGAGAGCTTGTCTTACATGAATGAGTTTGTAGGTTTAAACGCCACCCTGATTCCTGCTTTATTAAGAATCTTACACATAGTTTTATGTGTTTTCTGCCTATATGATAAAACTTTAGATACCATAACTTCTTTCAAATTTGTATCCATTTTAGAAGACAGTTAAAAGTATATCCCACTTTCCTTTTCCGTCTTTACCACTGTGTATCATCATGCCTTTTACTACATAAACAGTCGAATTTTAGACTTCAAAATTACCATTTCGGACTTTAATTCATCTCATGCGTCATCTGTCTGAAAGCAGGCTTAGTTAAATTTCTAACGAAGCGAGCAATAGCACTAGGTAGTACATCAGAATAACTGAATGATGCAATGAATGAAACAGATAGAAGAAGAGCTGATTGGTGTTAAATAACCAACTGGCCTAAAAACAATTCATTAGGTAGATGAGAAAAGGCCAAAAAATATAAGGCATCTACAGTTTAATCATGTAAGGAGGGAACACCTGAGACCTTATGTAGGATTCTTAGTAAAGCGATATTCCCAAGAGAAGGATCACATCATCTCTGAGAAGAACATTCTTTGCAGCAACGCTAGGAATGGTGTTCTCCAGTCGCCCACTGATCTGTAGAAGCCTAAAGGACCAGATCCCGCATCCGGCCACTTCTATGTGCATATACCAGTACACCTGCTGCTGTGGAGCCAGGTACATCGATCGTTCGACGCGCATCCTGTCGAAGAGGATTCAAGAACACTATCCAGCCAGCATGGTCGCGAAAAGGCAATAGTGATGCAACAAGGAGTGCGATAATTGAACACTTGGTTGACACTCATCATTGTATTTCAACAAACGCCTCCTTCAAAGTAGTCTACAGAGTCAAGAATAACCTGTCAAAGGCAATACGGTTTCGTCTCCTTTGTATCGCTGAAACTCGGGCCATTCACATGGAAAAACCAGAGCTGTGCATACAAAAGAAGATTACTCAATCACTTCTACTCTGGTAACCACTGGTAACAATGTTTTGATTTGTTTTGAGTTTTTTTTATTTTTATTTTAATGACTTAATTTTGTTTCTTTACCTGTTCTTTAACTGCTTATTATTCTTGTATTCACTTAGATCTCTTACATAGTTTCGTATTATCTACTTTGTTTCTATGTGCATCCTGAGTAAAACTCACTCATCAAACTATTCATATTATTATTACATAACTTCTTTTAACAACTATTTGTAACAACTCATCACCTTTGTTACTACTCTAGTTTCATTAACACTTAATTTTCTTGACTTGTGATACCAACCTTTACCTGTTTTGATAAAAGTAACCTTAACCAATTGTAATTTTGTTTGACAAACTTAATGTACACATGCATACAAAACA